CTCCCTATTTGCACCATTCTCTCAGGACTCCCTATTTTTATCATTCTCTCAGTACTCCCTATTTGCACCATTCTCTCATGACTCCCCATTTGAACCATTCTCTCAGGACTCACTATTTACACCTTTCTCACAGGACTCACTATTTGCATCATTCTCTCAGGACTCTTTGTTTGCATTATTCTCTCAGGACCCCCCTATTTGCATTATTCTCGCAGGACCCCCCTATTTGCATCATTCTCTCAGGACTCCTTATTTGCATCATCCTCTCAGGACTCTCTATTTGCATGATTCTCTCAGGACTCCCTATTTACACCCTTCTTTCAGGACTCACTATTTTCATCATTTTCTCAGGACTCCCTTTTGCACCATTCTGTGAAGACTGCCTATTTCGACCGTCCTCTCAGGACTCCCTATTTACACCGTTCTCTCAGGACTCCATATTTGCATCATTCTCTCAGGACACCATATTTGCACATCCGCATTGTTCAGTTGCACCCAAATGGCCTTGATGACATCTACACTGTCATGCATCAGTTCACCACCCACTGTCGGAAGAGACGGAGACAGGTAAGCAGGGACGTAGAGACCTACAAAGGATTTGCTGATGTAGGAATTAGCCAGCGTAAGCTCAGTATACATCAGTGAACACAACAGTGTTTACAGCATACACTCAGAAATTTACTACATGGTGAATTATGCAGCCCATCTGACACTAGTTGGGACCACACTAACTTGTATTTTGCCTGCTTTTACATCATCGCTTATCACCCGCCTATTCTGTTCTCCCGTTTTAAAGAAAGCGTGATGTTGCTAAAGCATGCTCTGCTACAAACGGGAAATGTGTTCATGTCTATAGCATGACACAGTAACATGGTTGTGTAATCATTTCTAAAAGGACTGCATGTTTCAGGAGCATTCTAGAGGGAGGAAAAACGGAGGGTTGCAGTAGACTCTGGAGCAATTAGTGGGTGAACAATAATCTCTAGAGCAATCTAAAAGATGGGGAGTAATCTCTGAAGCGGTCTAGTGGATGAGCAGTAGTCTCTGGAGCAACAAGTGGGGGACAGTAGTCCCTGGAGCAACCAGTGGGTGGGCAGTAGTCCCTGGAGCAACCAGTGGGTGGGCAGTAGTCCCTAGAGCAACCAGTGCGTGGGCAGTAGTCCCTGGAGCAACCAGTGAGTGGGCAGTAGTCCCTGGAGCAACCAGTGGGTGGGCAGTAGTGCCTGGAGCAACCAGTAGGGGGGAGGGGGGTCAGTAGTTCTTGGAGCAACCAGTAGGGGGGGGGGGGCAGTAGTCTCTGGAGCTGCCTAGCAGATGGGCAGTAGTCCCTAGAGCAACCAGTGAGGGGGGGGGGGGCAGTAGTCCCTGGAGCAACTAGTGGATGGGGGGGGGGGGGGTGGGCAGTAGTTCCTGGAGCAACTAGTGGATGGGGAGGGGGGGTGGGCAGCAGTTCCTGGAGCAACTAGTGGGGGGGGGGGGGGGTGGGCAGTAGTTCCTGGAGCAACTAGTGGGGGGGGGGTGGGCAGTAGTTCCTGGAGCAACTAGTGGGGGTGGTGGGCAGTAGTTCCTGAAGCAACTAGTGGGGGGGGGGGGGCAATAGTTCCTGGAGCAACTAGTGGGTGGGGGGTGGGCAGTAGTTCCTGGAGCAACTAGTGGGGGGGGGGGGGCAGTAGTTTCTGAAGCAACTAGTTGGGGGGGGGGGGTGGGCAGTAGTTCCTGGAGCAACTAGTGAGGGGGGGGGGCAGTAGTCTCTGGAGCTGTCTAGCAGATGGGGCAGTAGTCCCTGGAGCAACTAGTGGAGGGGGGGGGGGGGGGGGGCAGTAGTTCCTGGAGCAACTAGTGGGGGGGGGGGGGAGGGGGTGGGCAGTAGTTCCTGGAGCAACTAGTGGGGGGGAGGGGGTGGGCAGTAGTTCCTGGAGCAACTAGTGGGGGGGGGGCAGTAGTCCCTGGAGCAACTAGTGAGGGAGGGGGGGGGGGTAGTAGTCCCTGGAGCAACTAGTGGGGGCGGGGGCAGTAGTCCCTGGAGCAACTAGTGGGGGGGGGGCAGTAGTCCCTGGAGCGACTAGTGGGGGGGGGGGGGGGGGGGGGCAGTAGTCCCTGGAGCAACTAGTGAGGGGGGGGGGCAGTAGTCCGTGGAGCAACAAGTGGGTCGACAGTAGTCCCTGGAGCAGTCTAGCAGATGGGCAGTAGTCCCTGGCGCAACTAGTGGATGGGCAGTAGTCCCTGGAGCAACTAGTGGATGGGCAGTAGTCCCTGGAGCAACTAGTGGATGGGCAGTAGTCCCTGGAGCAACTAGTGGATGGGCAGAAGTCCCTGGAGCAACTAGAGGGGGGGGGGGCAGTAGTCCTTGGAGAAACCAGTGGGTGGACAGTAGTCCCTGGAGCAGTCTAGCAGATGGGCAGCAGTCCCTGGAGCAACTAGTGGATGGGCAGTAGTCCCTGGAGCAACTAGTGGATGGGCAGTAGTCCCTGGAGCAACTAGTGGATGGGCAGTAGTCCCTGGAGCAACTAGTGAATGGGCAGAAGTCCCTGGAGCAACTAGGGGGGGGGGGGCAGTAGTCCTTGGAGCAACCAGTGGGTGGACAGTAGTCCCTGGAGCAGTCTAGCAGATGGGCTGTAGTCCCTGGAGCAACCAGTGGGTGGGCAGTAGTCCCTCGAGCAACTAGTAAGGGGGGCAGTAGTCCCTGGAGCAACTAGTGGGCGGGGGGGGGGCAGTAGTCCGTGGAGCAATCAGTGGGTGGGCAGTAGTCCCTAGAGCAACCATAGGGTGGGCAGTAGTCCCTGGAGCAAATAGTGAAGGGGGCAGTAGTCCCTGAAGCAACTAGTGAAGGAGGCAGTAGTTCCTGAAGCAACTAGTGAAGGGGGCAGTAGTCCCTGGAGCAACTAGTGAAGGGGGCAGTAGTTCCTAGAACAATCAGTGGGTGGGCAGTAGTCCCTGGAGCAACTAGTTAAGGGGGCAGTAGTTCCTGAAGCAACTAGTGAAGGGGGCAGTAGTCCCTGGAGCAACTAGTGAAGGAGGCAGTAGTTCCTAGAACAACCAGTGGGTGGGCAGTAGTCCCTGGAGCAACTAGTTAAGGGGGCAGTAGTTCCTGAAGCAACTAGTGAAGGGGGCAGTAGTTCCTAGAACAACCAGTGGGTGGGCAGTAGTCCCTGGAGCAACTAGTTAAGGGTGCAGTAGTTCCTAGAACAACCAGTGAGTGGGCTGTAGTCCCTGGAGCAACTAGTGAAGGGGGCAGTAGTCCCTGGAGCAACTAGTGAAGGAGGCAGTAGTCCCTGGAGCAACTAGTGAAGGGGGCAGTAGTTCCTAGAACAACCAGTGGGTGGACAGTAGTCCCTGGAGCAACTAGTGAAGGGGGCAGTAGTTCCTAGAACAACCAGTGAGTGGGCTGTAGTCCCTGGAGCAACTAGTGAAGGGGGCAGTAGTCCCTGGAGCAACTAGTGAAGGGGGCAGTAGTTCCTAGAACAACCAGTGGGTGGACAGTAGTCCCTGGAGCAACTAGTGAAGGGGGCAGTAGTTCCTAGAACAACCAGTGAGTGGGCTGTAGTCCCTGGAGCAACTAGTGAAGGGGGCAGTAGTCCCTGGAGCAACTAGTGAAGGGGGCAGTAGTTCCTAGAACAATCAGTGGGTGGGCAGTAGTCCCTGGAGCAACTAGTGAAGGGGGCAGTAGTTCCTAGAACAATCAGTGGGTGGGCAGTAGTCCCTGGTGCAACTAGTGAAGGGGGCAGTAGTTCCTAAAACAACCAGTGAGTGGGCTGTAGTCCCTGGAGCAACCAATGGGTGGGCAATAGTCCGTTGAGCAACCAGTGGGTGGGCAGTAGTCCCTGGAGCAACCAGTGGGTGGGCAATAGTCCCTGGAGCAACTAGTGGGGGGGGGGGGGGGTAGTCCCTGGAGCAACCAGTGGGTGGGCAGTAGTCCCTGGAGCAACCATAGGGTGGGCAGTAATCCCTGGAGCAACTAGTGAAGGGGGCAGTAGTTCCTAGAACAACCAGTGGGTGGGCAGTAGTCCCTGGAGCAACTAGTGAAGGGGGCAGTAGTTCCTAGAACAACCAGTGGGTGGACAGTAGTCCCTGGAGCAACTAGTGAAGGGGGCAGTAGTTCCTAGAACAACCAGTGGGTGGGCAGTAGTCCCTGGAGCCACTAGTGAAGGGGGCAGTAGTTCCTAGAACAACCAGTGGGTGGGCAGTAGTCACTGGAGCAACTAGTGAAGAAGGCAGTAGTTCCTAGAACAACCAGTGGGTGGGCAGTAGTCCCTGGAGCAACTAGTGAAGGGGGCAGTAGTCCCTGGAGCAACTAGTGAAGGAGGCAGTAGTTCCTAGAACAACCAGTGGGTGGGCAGTAGTCCCTGGGGCAACTAGTGAAGGGGGCAATAGTTCCTAAAACAACCAGTGAGTGGGCTGTAGTCCCTGGAGCAACCAATGGGTGGGCAATAGTCCGTTGAGCAACCAGTGGGTGTGCAGTAGTCCCTGGAGCAACCAGTGGGTGAGCAATAGTCCCTGGAGCAACTAGTGGGGGGGGGGAGTAGTCCCTGGAGCAACCAGTGGGTAGGCAGTAGTCCCCGGAGCAAATAGTGGGGGTGGGCAGTAGTCCCTGGAGCAACCAGTGGGTTTGCAGTAGTCCCTGGAGCAGTCTAGCAGACGGGCAGTAGTCCCTGGAGCAACCAGTGGGTGGGCAGTAGTCCCTGGAGCAACTAGTAGGGGGAGGGGCAGTAGTCTCTGGAGCAACTAGTGGATGGGCAGTAATTCCTAGAACAACCAGTGGGTGGGCAGTAGTTCCTAGAACAACCAGTGTGTGGGCAGTAGTTCCTAAAACAACCAGTGGGTGGGCAGTAGTCCCTCAAACAACCATTGAGTGTGCAGTGATTTCGGTCTAACATGGACAATTGAGGTGACAAGTGTCTTTTAATATTGTTGGTGGTAAATCTAGCTGGGAGTTATTTTATCCTTTTTTTTCAATGACAGTGGATTTTATTTTCCCCACACAAAAACAGATATTCCAAAGGTTAAAGGTGAGATTTCTGGTATCTGGCACGAGCTCTAGGTCCTCCGAACTTCTTTGGTTCACAGCGACGGGGATCTGCAACCAGCAGAGACCTGTCGTACTGAATCAGCACATCCCTGATCTCTTTCTTTGAGGCCTCATCCACATATTTCTAGTAGTAGGAGACGATAGCCTTGGAGATGGCTTGTCTGATAGCATAAATCTGTGCCACATGACCACCTCCCTTGACCCTCACACGGATGTCCACTCCAGCAAATCTTGTTCTAGTATAAGTAATACTTGCCTCCTTCTTGATGCACTTGTTTGATAGTTTCGTTGCCTAGCTTCTGAGTTAAGTGCATGGCGTGACACTGTGAGCTGCGGATTTATTCTGAGCTGTGATAAACATTTTGTGTGTTTTTCATGAGCACAGGAGCGGAGCAACTATGGAGTGACCCGTTTGCTATGAAGCTAAAACTAAAATTACCAGAATACACTTGTCCGTCCAAAGTCGTTGGCACAATGTTGGATGTCCAGTGTCGGTATGTCGGCCAGCATTCGGTGATTACAGATACAATGGGACCAACTGCTGTTTTACGGTAAGTGAGTCATGTCGTTGTAAAAACTAAAGCAAACAAAAGTCACTGGGACAATTTATGTTCTCTCATCAGGTTAGTTGCGTATCCTTTACAGGACGTTGCAGAACTAACCACAACAGCCCCTGGCTGTTGTGTGGATTTTCTAGGCAAATTTACATCCAGTAGTTTGCCATTGCCCTCTGGACGGTCGGCTTTCTTGATACCACTGTCTAAACCAACGCAAGGCGCTTGGCCCGCAGCTGGAATCGAACCCGGCATCCCGGCATTACGAAGCATTTGCATCGACTTAGCCACAGAGCCGACGTTCTCTCATCAACACAAGCAAATAATATTCCTAATGTTAGAAATTCAACCTGCTTCTGAGAAATCCCATGATTTTGCTTTGTCGAGTTACACTGGACACCGGACTTGCCCACTAACATGTATCGCTAGGAAGCAGGGATCAAAAGGAGAGTAAACTCTAATCATTAAGCATACACAATCTCGCTGTAACACAAACAAACATTAAATGAGGTATACTGGAGAGCCAGTACAAAATCAGAACAGTTACTGGAGCAGGTAGGTCTGTTATGGAATATACCATAATCTCGAAAACTAAGTTTTAAACCTACGTAAGTTCCAATCATGGACTTACAAATAAAATGTGGAGCAAAGAGAAGCATTCCGGTTAAAACAAAAACTGAGACAACTGTTGTCTTGGAGCTTTTTGGATGTCGAAGACAAATTCCTTACTTCGTGTAAAAATCTTGAATGGCTGCCAAACCATCTGCTGAACCGTAGATTGTAAAGAAAAAATAATAATTTGCGAACAGTGTCAGTCATTTTGCAAAAGAAACTTGATTTACCGACCCCCCCCCCCCCCCCACTCCCTAATGACATAATGATGTGTGAGGTTCTCACATCCAAAAATCATCATCTTTCCAAAATTTTGACACGTTTGTCCACAGAGAGTTTTAGTAGAGAAGCCATACAAACTAAGTGGGTGAATCTACATTTTACAGCCTAATTGTAACACACAGAGAAACACTCATTATCGGCATGGAAAACTTGCATCAGCTTCAGATCACTGATGGCATCCTTTAAACAGCCTGTCCAAACTGGACAGTATCATCTGTAAAATGTTCCACATAAAAACAACACAAAATCAAAATTATCAGAACAAAAACAGCCAGCCATGGATGCCTAGAAATAGAAAGGCAGAAACAAAAAATACCAAAGCTACAGGAAACTTTATGCAAACCCTTCTGCCTCAGAGCCTCGTTAAATATCAGAGACATTGTTAAAACAGTCTGCCAGGTGAAGACCATGGCAATGACAGAAAAGATCATGTTGCAATGCGCGAATAGAAAACCCATACAACAACAAAAAATTGTCATGATATTCTGTTTGTAGAAATTCACAAGGTATTTATCGGTACATGGAACTGACTCCAGAACTTGGTGACAACTGCAAGATTGACAGAGTACAGGGGGAAGCAGGTAGATAAATATCTTGATGTGTTTGGCCGAAGGCATGGCGCTTTTTTCGCACCACCAGATCCACAATTCTGCTGACTGAGTATGATGGTTATGATGGCAGTCTCGGCATGGCAAATGATGTTGACACTATTTCCGTGGAGAGTGGGGCGCTGGCTGATTGTAGTTTCCCCACTGACAAGGAGGCAGAGGACCAGGCCAGTTTGGGAAGCACTGAACTAGAGACACAGTCACCATTGAATTCTGTATCAGTTATTCTGCAATTGGAATATGTCACCCCAAAAGACGACACTACCTCGTTGTAGGTACCATTATTGGTATTTATAGAGTCTTCTGTCGGCGCTGTGCCTAAGTAGATGCGAACGCTTCGCTTCGTAATGCCGGGATGCCAGGTTCGATCCCAACTGCGGGCAATGCGCCTTGCGTTGGTTTCGACAGTAGTATCAAGAAAGCCGACCGTCCAGAGGGCAATGGCAAACTACTGGATGTAAATTCCCTAGAGAAACCATACAACAGGCAGGGGCTGTTAGGGTTGGTTCTGCAACGTCCTGTAAAGGATACGCAACTATCTTTAGAGTCTTCTAATCTCCATTTTCTGTCTCTGATTCTGTAATAAACATTTCATAGCAATAACAACAGCAATCAGAACTTCACTTTTGTTAAGAAAAGAAATGTGAGGGACTGAGGGAAGCCGACAGGTAGAAAGGTAATGATCACAGTCAGATGGTACGCTGACGTAACAAAAACCAGCACCAGCTTCAAACCCGGTACACCTATGTCAACGCTGGTCCGACCTGCCCAATTATGATGTCATTTGCTCTAGCCCCGTGCCAGCAATGTTCTAACACAACTGTGCACATCTAAGGCTCTATTCATTTTTATCTGAATTTTATTTTTAAACTATCTATTGGAATAGTATACAAATATTGGACCCGCTAACTTGCCTAAAATTCTTTCATATCTCCATTGACTGAGCCAGCCGCATCAAGCAACCGCTACATCGTTTTCTAAACAGTCTAATATTTATGCACCCTGTTTCGGGCCATGGCATTCACTAGACCTATGAATTAGAGGAAGTCTCCAAGCTACCTGTTCTAGAAAACATCTTACCACGGTACATTCGGGGTAGGGAAGGAACGTAGCCAAACAAGGATTATTAAAGAGGGAAAAAAAATCATATACAGTTTAAATATTTGAACACAGACGGGGAAGAATATGGAGGAGAGGGTGCGCTTGGGGTACGCCGAACAAGAGTAGTATTTATTATGTACGTCTGCCCGCCAACAAATCTGAGCCACTCATTCAAACCACGTGACAGCCCGTCTGCGCGTTCCAGCACCTGTATGGTAATCAGTTGTTAATCTCTAATGGAAGGGGCAGATCTGGTGGCCAAGCGTGTACACACGCACACATCCATACACGCACACTCACACACATATATACCATCGCATGCACACAAACCACACTCCTCGTAGAGAGAAAGAAAAAGCATAGAACTGGAGCGATACACGACAATAGAGAGGCATGGAGTGAAGGAGGTAATAATATAGCCAAAGAAATAATCATTCTAAATATATTCTGGAGGATTATATAAGCGAGGACAGGAGAATGGCAGTAGTTCTGTGGTTAGAACGTGTGCCCGTCCACCTCGTGGTCATCAGATCGGTTTTGTAAAGAAAGGAACTTGTATAAATTTACTGCTCTCCTAGGTTGACCCACGTTAGTTGGAAATAGTCATGCTTGATGGTTACTCGGCAGAGGCGCCACCTCAACGAAATCCGTAAGAGATACGGAGCCTCGGGTCCCCCACACTTATTTGGCTAGGGGATGATGCTTGAGCAAAGCAGTTATAAAATATTTTTATTATTGTACTGAATTCCGGGTAAACAAAATTTTTAAAATAATATGAAGTGGTCATATCAAGCGCCACGACGGACTGGAAAAAATTATGGTAGAAGGCATGGTACCATCAAGGAGGGAGCAGGGGCCGACCAACACCAAGATGGTCACAGGATAAAAGTGACTCCTTGAGTATGAAAGTGCATGAGGCGGGAGAACTTGCTAGATACGAGTTTCTTGCAGGCAGACCGTGATGAGAGCGACGTTCTGCAAAGGACGATAAAATAAAATACTTAGAACCTGGTTAGGGCTGCCTCTGAGCCTGTCTGCAAGCTGTCTATGGTTTGGACCTCAACCCCTCTTAAAGCTAATGGGGCGGGGGGTGAGTGGGTTTAGCAAACCCAAACATTTGAGGGGTGGAGGTGCCTGTTTCACTTGTGTCTGTTGGGCTGTAGAATCTGATCTTATTCGTACTTTTTTCACGATTTTGTTTTAAAAGCTCTGTGGCCAGACTAGTTTTCACCTTTAATTCTTTCCTAGTCACTTTTGTTGGTTGATTTGCTGAATGCAGTCTTCAGTGTGCAAATGCGACGTAGCAAATGTCAGTTCAGTGTTTAACAAATAGTGAAGCATTATGGGTGTTACGCAAAGTTCTGAATTTGTTTCCATTAAATGCTTTTCTTCTTTGCCTTTACCGGCTGTACACTCTAATGCCTTTACCGGCTGTATACTCTGGGGTCTTTACCGGTTGTATATTCTGACGCCTTTAACGGCTGTATATTCTGACGCCTTTACCGGCTGTATACTCTTGTGCCTTTACCAGTTGTATACTCTTGTGCCTTTACCGGATGTATACTCTTGTACCTTTAAATGGATGTATATTCTGATGCCTTTACCGGTTGTATACTCTCGTGCTTTTACCGGCTGTATACTCTTGTGCCTTTACCGCTGTATACTCTTGTGCCTTTACCGTCTGTATACTCTTGTGCCTCTACCGGCTGTATACTCTTGTGCCTTTACCGGCTGTATACTCTTGTGCCTTTACCGGCTGTATACTCTTGTGCCTCTACTGGCTGTATATTCTGACGCCTTCACCGGCTGTATACTCTTGTGCCTTTACCGGATGTATACTCTTGTACCTTTAAATGGCTGTATATTCTGATGCCTTTTACCGGGTAATACTCTCTTGCTTATTACCGGCTGTATACTTTGCCTTTACCTGTGTGTATTTACCGGCTGATACTCTGTGCCTTACGGTTGTATACTCTGGTGCTTTTACATACTCTTGTCCCTTTACGGGTATACTTGGGTGTTTTTACGGTGTATACCTTGTCCCTTTTTAAAATGGCGTATATTGATGCCTTTACCGGCTTTACTCTGGTGCCTTACCGGCGTTATTTTTGTGCTTTAAATGGCTTTTAATTTGGTGCTTTCCCGGCTGTATATCGGGTCCCTTTCCGGCCTTTTACGCTGGGCCTTTCCCGGCTGTATACCTATGCCTTTTCGGTGAAACCCTGGTGCTTTACCGGCGTATACGTGGGGCCTTTACCGGCGTATAGTGGTGGAAATTCAAAACGTTATCCATTTGGATTCAGCATTTTCCCAAACCTGAGATTGAATGCAATTCCTTCCAAGTCAGGGATCTCCCTGAGAGTAAAAAAGCCAACACTCTGTATAATAAAGCTAGAATTTGTAAAAAAGGAGTCCCCGCAACACAAATCTGAAACACGACTGAAGCGGAGTGGAAAAAAAACCCACAATTTTCGCGGGGAGTTTACAGCGGTAAACGCAAAGAAAAAAGAGTGTCCATCGTTTTACAGATCGGGTTTAATTTAAAATTTTTTTTAGTAAATTATTTTATTTGAAAAAAAAAAAAAGAAAAACCAAATGAAATTCTTATGAGCGTTAAATTTTTAGCTTCTCATTCGAAAATTGTAAACGAAAGGACTTTGACTTTGCAATTTTACCCCACCAACACAAAGTAAGCAGGGGAATTTTAAGTGTTTTTGAATATAAAAGTACCTTGGCGGGAGGGGGCGGCGAGAGGACTTTCGCAAAGAACCTCCCTCACGATGAGTAAACCTTAGCAATTATCTTCAAAAAGTTTTTTTGAATAAAAATTCCTAAGTGTTTAAAGTTTATTTATCTTTTGTAAAAAATGGGTAGTATTATCAATAGACTCTCGAAGGGTTTTGTTTCCCCATGTACGGTGTTTTGGGTGTTTTTAAAAAGGGCCCATTGTTGAACTGAATTTTTTTGTCGCACTTTAACAATGCTCTNACGGGGTTGTATACTCTTGTGCCTTTAAATGGCTGAGAGCGACGTTCTGCAAAGGGCCTGCTACATGATGATGATGAACTTTTATGCAATTATCTTTCAATAAATGCCTTTTCTAAATCAAACATATTCCTAAGTGTTTGAAGTTTAGTTATCTTTTTGTCAAAATGGGTAATATTGTGTAATAGAGCTAGTCGAAAGTCATGTTTCCCCATGTTCTGTCGTATTGTGGTGCTTTTATATAACGGCCCTTTATTGTTGAATTGTAATTTGTTTGTCTGCACTTTATCAATGCTCTCTAGGAAAAGCCCGTGTTGCAACATTCATAGAAGATCTATACTGGGAAACCAAATCTGTCGTGTATATCTTTCAAAGAATAAACAGTTCAGAGAAATAACTTGACATCATCATCATCATCATCATCATCATCATCAGCAGCAGCAGCAGCAGCGCAGCAGCAGCATCATTATCATCATCATCGTCATTATCATTATCATCTTCATATTCATTTTGTAGCAGGTCTTTTACTGAATGCTCCTCTACTTAGTGCAGGCAGCAAACCGCCTGGGTCCCTTGCTCAGGTTCCCGCCCAGTCAACTGTTATACTCATGGTGTCTTAATCTTATTGATATGTATGTGTGTGTGTGTGTATATATATATATATATATATATATATATATATATATATATATAATATACATATATATATTTGTGTGTGTGTGTGTGTGTGTGTGCGTGTGTATTTTTGTTGCCGTATTTTGATCTTGTATATTTTGTGATAAACTAATCATTTTTTAGCATGTCTTTCTTTGGCATGAAATCTTTATTTAAAAGGCCTGCATGTGAAATGTTTCAAATTAAATTTTACGATTCAAAATTACATGAATAAATTCACAATACGACAAATTCTCTCAGGGGGCGATTGGGCGGGGATTAAAAAAAACAATCTGTCTACCGAATGCTTGTGTGCCGAAATAGCACAGAAGAACTGTGCTATATTCACGATTTCGGAGTACATTTCCCTACTCGTCGTTTTTCAGGATAGTCAGGTGGTCTTCGTTTCTCGTCTTGTCCTGTGAAATTGCAGACCAATCTACAAGTGTCCGAAATCGGCTGCGTAAGCTGATATTTTCTTGTGAATTTACACAGGGTAGCGGATTGTTTTACTGCAACTGTAACATTCCAAACTGCTGTAACACACTGTTAAGTAGTAATCTGGTAATCTTAGTTTCAGCTTTATAGCAAACGGGTTACCCCATAGTTGTTCCGTTCCTGTGCCAACAAAAAACACACAGAATGTTTATCACAGTTCCTTGTGGAAAGATTGACAGACTGCTGTCTCAGCATATGGACTAGCATACACACGCATTAAAAGCATGTGGTAGCATCCGAAATGCTAACACAAACAGTCCGACATAAGAAATGCAGTTCATCATGCATGGTAGCAGTAGTCACCAACAGATCAGCAGTTGCACACGCATTTTTAATCACATAATGGCACCACCAATATTGCAACAACAGGCATCGCGCCAAAATTTTAAGTGAAGTCCGCAGCTCACAGTGTCACGCCATGCACTCAACTCAGAAGCTGGGCGACGAAACTATCCTTTCAGTCTACAAATGGAGCGAAAATGCACCGGCCACCGTCTGGCGGAAGCAAACAATTTTCCACGGTTTACAATAGTGACCGTCCCTAGCGTCCATTTTGACCAGAAGTTAAGGAGTAACATTACATACAGCTTCAAGAGTATGGGAGGAGGGGCTATATTTAACACAAGCCTTCTCTAAGGTCATCATAATAATAACAATAATAATAATAATAATGCGCTGAGTGTTCAAATACTGGGTATTTGAAAAAATAAATATTTAACAATAGAACTTCTAATCAAGTTAAGGGAAGCCGCCCAAACATGTCAGAGATTTTAGAAACAATTTCTGGGTGAACTCTAAAATTCTAACCCCCTCCCCTTCCCCACAAGATTCCAGCGCCCCTGAACCACCTATTTCTTCCTACAAGTAATCTATTTGTTTTTAAAAAATGGGTGGGGGAGCAGTGCGATAAATCTTGTGGGGACTGTGTTTTCCAAATCCCATTGTCAAGTAAAACAATTTGTGTCCTAGTAGCAACCGCAGGCATCCATGGACTCGAGCTGGGCACACGATCTCCTAGATATAACCGAGCTTTTCATTGGCTGAATCCAGTTAACGGCACGCGTCTGGCGCGCTGTCATTCTAGTATAGGATAGTTGGAGCGAAAGCAGAGCAAAGTGATCCCCTCAGTCATGAAAGGGATTAGAAGAAGGCTCTGTAAACGCGAAACAAAGATTTTACTGGGGGTTAAATTAACAGCAGCTGCAGGTGTCTGAGTCAATGAAAAGATTGTAGAGTGTCTACATTTTGTTTCGTAAAGTAAATTTCCAGGGTAGCCCTGTCTTATGCTGAAACTTAAGTTGCTATGAGTAATTGGGAAATCTGATACCAACTTTGAGGTTTTTGTGTGTATGTGTGCGTGTGTGTGTTGTGTGTGTGTATATATATGTGTGGGTGTGCTTGCGCGTGAGTGTGTGTGTGTGTGTGTGTCCTCGTGCGTGTGTGTATTTCCATATTCTAACTTTAGTGAGGTGGAAAGGGCTTACCATTGCGTAGATGCTCAGTGAAGTGGTGTGTGTGTGTGTGTGTGTGGGGGGGGGGGGGTGTCCATTTGACAAATGCTGTGTGATTTAAAAAAAAAAAAGTTTGCTTGCAAACTGGCGATTGCAATAGTTATACGACGCCCCTAACTCTCTGGGCTCTATACTATACCCCCTTCCCCCCCCTTTTCCCCTCCCCCCCCCCCTTTTTTTCCCATCTTAAAATGTGTTAAATACAGACAGTTTAAAATATTTACTTGACAACATACTATATAAGCTGATGATTTGTTCCGTATCTACACCAACCAACTGCTAATTACTGCCTTTGTTACACTACTTTTGCGATGCCCTCTGCCTACACCAACCCTCAACAAACATAATTACTGATATAAACGGTTGTATTTGACTAAACTACTCATAGCACAGTCGGTTCTGTGGCAAAGTCGATGCGAACGCTTCGTAATGCCGGGATGCCAGGTTCGATCCCAGCTGCGGGCTAATCGCCTTGCGTTGGTTTCGACAGTGGTATCAAGAAAGCCGACCGCCCAGGAAGCAATGGCAAACTACTGGACGTAAATTTGCCTAGAGAAACCACGCAACAGACAGAGGCTGTTAGGGTTGGTTCTGCAAAGTCCTGTAAGGGATACGGAACTAACCTAAACCAGTTTTTCCCATAATGGACTCTACCGCCGCCCAGGAACGATGGAACATTCCAGCGGAGTGGTAGCGACCTCAGTCACCTTTTTTTTTTTTTAAAGATATTATTCCTGGATTTTCCAGAATTGTGGTGGGAAAGAATTATGCCATTTTTAGATTTATATGTTGTGTCAAAGTGTTTCTTGTAAAATGATTTATATTTTCTTGATAGATTTTTCTTCTTGAAATCTATGGTTCTTTATTTGGAAGCCTTATAAGCTTTTCACATAAGTAAGAATGTATGGTGTCTACGGGGGTTCTCGTCATTGCAATGTATGATATTCATTAACTGATATTGTGAACCAACGTTGCATAGGTTTCACGAGGGTCGTTTCCGCGGCTTAGTCCATAATATTAAAGCGTATTGCATAAAAGGCTTACCTGCTCTAGTGTAGACAAGCATTCATGTTCTTGTACTGGCTCCTCGGTATGTTTCATCCAGTTTTGTTTTTTATCACCGTGACTCTTTGAATGCATTTTGATTGGATTGGATTGGATTTTCTTCCTATGAGTTTGGTTCCAATGTGAGCCTAGTGTCTAGTCTAACCCCTAAAAAAAAAGCAGGGTAAATCTGTGATACTTTTAGATTTTCTAACATTAAGAATATTACGTTATTTCTGAAGGACAGAAAATATACTGTTCCAATGAGTTTAGTCTGGTTTAGCTTTAGGCTTATATGACTGAGCTTCAGTATGACAGTGGCTGGAAGTATTGTCTCTGTTTTCAGAGAATGATGGACCGCATCACCAGGTCTGCCTTTCCACATCGTTCC